CCGGGAGAGGCAGAGGAAGCGGCCGAGGATCGAGCCCCAGGCGGAGCTGCCGCCTGAGCGGACTCGCGGAGCGACGCTGCCAGCTGGAGGCAGCGACGGACTGAAACCTGCTGGGGCCACTGCAGCCGCCGGGGTTCGCATCTCCGAGTGGGCGGGGCGCGGACGGGCGGGGCTCGGACCTGCCCACCCAGCAAGGAAGATTTTCTGCCCTTGAAAACCACTAGACAGAGACACATGGCCCTATGGGTGTGACAAGTTAACTGGATTCTTTTTGGGCACTTGGTGAATTTTACCGCCATCTTTTTTTTTTTTTTTTTAAGATTTTTTATTTATTTGACAGAGAGAGATCACAAGTAGAGAGAGAGAGGAGGAAGCAGGCTCCCCGCCCAGCAGAGAGCCCGATACGGGACTCGATCCCAGGACCCAGAGATCATGACCTGAAGGCAGAGGCTTTTAACCCACTGAGCCACCCAGGCAGCCCTATCGCCATCTTTTGTAAGAATCAAGTTTGGTGAGATAATTTATAGGCAATCCTCCCTTCTTTCTGCAGGCACGTAGCTTCAAGTCCTGTATCTTTGCGAGGGTAGGAGAAGCATATGGGCCTGTGGCCAACTTTTTTTTTTTTTTTTTTTCAGCATAACAGAATTCATTGTTTTTTGCACCACACCCAGTGCTCCATGCAATACGTGCCCTCCCTAATACCCACTTTTAACGCACGTTCTCAGACTCTGGAAGTAAAAGCAGAGGAATGCTATTCCTCCAGCTATGGAACCACTTAGCAACCCGTAAATTCCACAGAGAATCCTATTTCCAAGCAGTGCTACCTTCAGGTTTGCAGAGGAGGAAAAAAAATGAGTGATTTTTTTTTTCAGTGACCACACTTTAGCTCTGAGACAAAGTGAGTGTTGGAGCGAGAGTACATCACTTTCACTCGCGATCATCTTCCTATCCTATAAATTGCATAAAATCAGCCACATAATGCTAGACTTACGGTAAGTATGATAGATAATAAAGTATCCCATCCCCTTCAGTCACCGGAAACACTCATGTTAGTTCTGGGCTTTGAGAACTAAATAGCCACATTGTAAACAACGACTGGCCAGCGCTGGTAGCTGAAGTCTTCATGGGACACCCAGTAGAAACTGGGGTGCAAGGTGCCAAAGAGGGAGGACAGGATCTCCATGCCCACATGGTCACAGAACTTTCTGTCCACATCTGCACACGCCAGGTCGTCCACCTCACGGAGGAAGCGCTGCTCTCAGAAGCAGCTGACCTTAGCCATGTGCTGCATGGACACATCCTGCCAGTGTGGGGCGCCAGGGACCTCGAGAACCACCACCCTCCAGCCTTCCCAGCAAGGCACCCAGGCCTGGCAGCCTGCTGGTTGGTGACGACCTAGTAGGTGAACCTGTGTCCCACCATGATGGGCTTCTCTGCCCTCTGCAGGGACAGCTCCAGGAGGACCACCTATCTACAGGGATGAGGGACAAGGCGGGAGGAGGGTCAGTGTCAGAGGCTGGCGGCAGGAACCCAGAGCTGGGGGCCATAGACGTGTGCACCTTCCTCAAGGGGCAGGCCCTGGGCTGCTTTAAGCTACAGCCACTCTCCCAGCCTATCCTGAGTAAGTCTGCTTGTGGGGCCTCCCTACCTTCTGCTCCCAGAGATGGGGGCCATCAGCACCCCATCATACAAAGGGAGCCTGAGTCTTCAGAGGCGGGAAGCCAGCCCTGCAGTCAGCACGCTGGAGCCAGGAATGCTCCCCCTGTGCCGAGTTCCCAGGCAAACCCTGCAGGTGCCCTTCCCTGGCCGACCCCCTGCAGGTTCTGTCCCCACCTGCCAGGAGTGGAGCACCTTCGGGCACACCCCTCCTTTCTATGGCCTACAGACTGGCTAGAATCAGCAGGGCTGGCCTCCTGTCCCACTTTGCTTTGAGGGGGCTGTCGCAGCCCCCCACAGAGCTGTCTCCACCCCCATAGGGTCCTCCCTTGAAGGTTACTGGGCCTCTAGCTGACAAGGCCCATCAGTCAACTGCTGCTATTCCTAGGAGTGATCAGCCTCAAACTCCCCCAGATCAGGAATCAGGTCCAGCCTGTGGGCAGGGAAGGGGAAAGAGGACTGCTGGAAGAAGAGGGGGCTTGCTTAGGCCTCAGCCAAGAATCCAAGAGTGGAAGCTTCCAGCTTCAGGTCTACATCTCCCGGGCCCCAAGAAGTTGGAAGTCTTGTCTCTCTGAGGGGACTACCTGTGGGGACAGCAGCTCCCCCATTGTCAGCAAGGGTGGTGAGCCCTCTGAGATGGATTTTTGTTAAGGTTCTATTTATTTGTTTGACAGAGAAAGAGACAGGTAGAGAGGGAACACAAGCAGGGGCAATGGGAGAGGGAGAATCATGCTCCCCGCTGAGCAGGAAGCCCAACATGGCGGCGTTCAATCCCAGGACCCCGGGATCACGACCAGAGCTGAAGGCAGATGCTTAATGACTGAGCTACCCAGGCGCCCTGAGACTGATTTTTTCACACAGGCACTAAGGCTACTTCCCAGTGCCTGCCCCATACCTGGCAGCTTAGTAAATTGCTCACACAGGGAAAGTGGGCACTACATTTAAATAGGTGACAAGGCCACACCCAACTGACAGACATGAGTCAGCTCACTGAGGGGCAAGTCCAGGTCTAGCCAACAGGGCAACAAGCCAGACATGAAGCGCAGGGAGAGAAGAGTGCTCCTGGCAGAGGGCAGAGAGAACGTAAAGGCCTGGAGTGAGGCCTGAGGCACGTGTGGAACAACCACACACCTGGAAGCCCCAAGGGGGGTTGGGGGGATATGGTGGGAGAGAAAAGGCTGGAGAGGACAGGCAGCTGGGGAGCAGATCCCAGAGAGATTCAAAGGTTTTGTGCTGAAAAGATCACTCTGCTGATTACCGGAGAAGAATGGGCTCTGTACAGTGGAAGGCAGGGAGACCCTAACCCAGCAGGTTAAATAAGCCCTAACCCTAACCCCACCCTAACTCCAATCAAACACTGTGTTCAATTTTGAGGACTGACAGCTCTACTCTGAGATCACAAACAAGTCCTTCATGCTGGCTTTCACTCCTTGCTCAGTATTACTGAAAGTTCTACCCAGAACAATGAGGCAAGAAATAAGGAACCCACATGTGAAAGGAAACAGTAGAACTAGGTCTGTTCAGAGACCAGAGATGACATCATCTTACATAAAGAACTTCCTGAAGGATCAACAAAAAATGACCACAACCAGTTCCCTAATTCTGCAAAGTTACAGGATAAAATATCAATACACAAAAATCTCTCTTTATCTGTATACACTAGCAATGAATCATCCAAAAAGGCATTTAAAAAAACAATTCCACTTTAGGGAATATCAACATGGACAAAATACTTAGAAATAGATGTAATCAAGGTATATATCTTATACACCAAAAATTACAAAACATTGCTGACAGAAAGTAAGGGAAACCTAAATAAATCTGAGGATACCCCATGGTGATGAAAAGACATACTATTGATAAGATGGCAACAGTAACAAAGCAATGTGGAAATTCAGTATGTTCCCAAGAAATTTCACAAAGGCCTTTGGGAAGAAATGCACAAGCTGATCTTAACAGTCATATGGAATTTTAAGGGACCACAAGATAGCCAAAACCATCTTGAAAAAGAAAATCAAAGGTGAAAGGTCATACTTCCAAAGTTCAAATCTTAATACAGAGCAACAGTAAATAAAACATTATGATACTGTCATAAAGGCATGCATACAACCTGAAAGAAATAATATATTATATGTTAATTGATTTTTAAATTTACAAAAAATTTTTAAATAAATTTCTTTTTAAAAGTATGCATACAGATCAGTGGGATTTAACTGAGAGCCCAGAAATAAAAGCCTTCATTTATGGTCCACTGAATTTTGACAACGGTGGACATTACACTGGGGAAACAGAATGGTCTTTTCAGCAAAGGGTGCTAGACAATCAGCTATCCATGTACGGAGGAATGGAACTGGACCCTTTCCTCACACCACATATACACATTAACTCAAAATAAGTTAAAGCCTTAAATGTAAGAGGTAAAATTATAAACCCTAGAAGAAACAAATGGGTATAAACTTTTATAACCTTGGATTTAGCGATGCTTTTAGATCTGACACCAAAGCATAAGAAGGGAGAGAGAAAAAAAAAAAAAAAAACAGATAAATATCCTCAAAATTAAAAATCTGTCCTGGGTGCCTGGGTGGCTCAGTTGGTTAACCATCTGACTCTTAACTTTGGCTCAGATCATGATCTCAAGGTCATGAGATTGAGCCCCACTCAGTGTGGGGCCTGCTTGAGATTCTCTCTCCTTCTCCCTCTGCCCCTATCCACTTGCTTACTCTCTCTCACTCAATCTTAAAAAAGAAATGTAAAAAATTTTAAAATATTTGTACATCAGAAGATTCTATTCAGAAAGTGAAAAGACATCCCCCAGAATGGAAGGAAATATTTGTACATTATTTATCTAATAAGAGTCTGTTGCCCAGAATATGTGAAGAGCTTTTACAACTCAACAAAAAGACAACCCCATTTTTAAAAAGGACAAAGGACTTGGATAGACCCTTCTCCAGAGAAATCATACAAATGGTGAAAAACACATGAATAGAGTTAAACATCATTAGTCTTTATGGAAATGAAGATTTAAACCAGTTAGATGTCCTTTTGCACAAGTAAAATCACTATGATCAAGAAAACAAGAAATAACGAAAGGATGTTGAGAAACTGAAACCCTTAAACATTGCTTGTGAAAAATGGTGAAGTCTACATATAAAATAGTTTGACATTTACTCAAATAGATCCAAGCAGAATTACCATAGGGTTTAACAATTGTACTCCTAGATATATACCCCCCAAATTGACAACACTGGTTCAAACAAACAAACAAAAATGTACAGGAATATTCATAGCAGCCGTGTTCACAACAGGCAAAAACCAGAAATGTCCATCCATGAGGAAAATGATGTCCTTTTGCAAATGACATATGCAAATGTCCTTCCATGGGGAAAAGGATAAACAAAATGAGGTAGACCCGTAAATGGTTATCTTGTTCTGCCTATGAAGGAATGAAGTAAAATGGTTCATTTGTGGGGGGAAAATATGGTGGTTCCTTAAAATATTAAACACAGGGGCGCCTGGGTGGCTCAGTGGGTTAAAGCCTCTGTCTGCAGCTCAGGTCATGATCCCAGGGTCCTGGAATCGAGCCCCGCATCCGGCTCTCTGCTCAGCGGGGATCCTCCTTCCTCCTCTCTCTCTCTCTCTCTGCCTATTTGTGATCTCTGTCTGTCAAATAAACAAATAAAATCTTTAAAATATTAAACACAGAATTCCACTGCAGCCTATATGCCCCCCAATAGTGAAAGTAGAACTACCCATATTCAGAGCAGCATTTCTCACAACGGCCAAAAGGTGGAAGCTGCCCAAGTGTCCACTGACAGATGAGTAGATAAACAAAATGTGGTTTATACACCATGGAACAAGATTCAGCCTTAAAAACGAAGGGAGTTCTGACATAGGCTACAACACAGGTTGAACGTGGAAGTCATTACACTGAGTGAAATCAGCCAGTCACGGAAGGACAGATACTGTATGATCCCACTTGGATGAGGTGTCTGGGGCCCAAAGCTGGATGTGGCTGCAGGGGACCGAGGGGAAAGGACAATGGGGAGTTGTTTCATGCGTACAGGCTCCCTCATGGAGAATGAGAAAATTCTGGAGAATGATATACGACCGTGGGAACTCAGTGAAGGCCAGAGAATTGTGCACCTGAAATGTTTTAAGGGGTCAATGTTCTTATGTTCAGTCACCATGAAAAAATGAATGAAGGACCAATGCATGTCACAATGTGGATGGACACTGAAAACAGCCCCAGTGACTTAAGTCATATAGAAATACCACTCAGATGGGAGCCATCTGTGCTCCTTAATTAAGTCCATCAGGGTTACCCAAATAAGGAAAGTCCTGGAAAAAGTTTCAGAAGAAAACTGGATCCAAATGGAGAAGACATTTCAGACCATCAGGCAGGTGGTGACAGCTGAAGTGGGCCCGTGGTCTGGGTTCAAATGTGGGAACCATCATGATTTCCTCACTTGGGGTTACGTGGTGGTTCCACGGGACACTGTCCCTGTTTGGGATAAAATGCACCAAAGTAGGCTGTGTCAAGTGGCAAACGTGGTAAAGAAACAACAGCTGGGGAGTCTGAGTGTGGAAATAAAGCATATTTGTGCTGCTGTGACAAGTTACTGCAGATCTGAAGTCACCGCAGAGTAAATGACTCTTTCAAACATCCACATTAGCACCACGTCACAGAAGCAGAGAGGACAGAAGCAGGATTCAGGACGGAGGCCAAGCCCTCCTGGATCCAGTTTACCCACCGTGGAGAGGCCACTTTCCCTTGGAGGAGGCCACATGTTAGCAAGAGACTCGTGGGAGGATTAATTGGGTGCCGCCATGTCTTGGGTATAGTAGAAGCAGTGGGATTTGGAATTCCAATTCTCCATGATGCTCCACCACAACCTGGTTAGAACTGTAAGAAAGCATGAAGGGAAGCCTCTGGAAAGTGGACTGGGGACGCCCAGAAGGGGAGGC